GAAGGATGGTTAAGGACGATAAAGTGTACCAGTACAGATTTAGTCATAGTATAAACTCATAGTTTGTTTTCATATTTATTCTGGGATTAGAAATGACCAGTGGTTGAAGAATAAAGCCTTTTTCTGTTGGAGGGATTCCTCACTGTATTAAAAGCTGTGTTCTAAATATTGATCATCATGACTTAAAGCACAACATTTAATTTCTTGATTGAACTTCAATATCAGTTAAGCTCTAACCATTTCATTGTAATCACTAACAGCATATCAATAGAGGAGAAAACACTGCCATTAATTATTGACATTGGATCAGAAGATTTGCAGATGTACAGGGTGGATCAAAGTCTGATGGTACTTTTCTGTGTTCATAATTCCATCGATTTTTAACAGGATCTACAACGCCACCGGATGAAATGCAGTCCCAAGCCTGTCAAGGCCTGATACTCAGAACTATGAACCCTGAATTCTTGCCACATGATCTCTTTCATTTTGTTATCAACAACCCTTCAAATTAAAAACAAGAACAAGATCTGAAAGTCTACTAAACTTTGGATGCTTATCTGTATTTTGTGTCAGGATGGATGACAACCCCCAGTCACTGCGCCTAAAACGGCATGACCGCAGTTTCAAGCAATGTGTGCATGGCATCACATGAGAAGCTTGAATACATTCCACAGACATCCAAATCCTTAACCACTTAATCATATCAGCGTTGTGGTTAGGGCTGCAGGCGAGCTCAGTGGTCCTAAAGGTACCCCACTGGACTGACCATCTCAGGTCCTTTAATGCATATTTTTACTGCAAAAAATGTTTTTTTTTAAAATAATTCCTCCATGTTATTTCTTTTGTTACTTTTCTTAATGTGTACATTCTGTATTGGTTTTTAGTTTTGTACATTGTGTACTGGCTTTTGAAAAAGTTTGTTGATCTTGTTTTTGAAAAGTCCCATATGAATAAATATGGTCTGCTTGCTTCCATCTGTAGGTACTGTTTCAAAAGAAGATCAGTTTCTTTGTTTTCAAACAAGAACGGCTTCTGTAGGAGGTACCAATCAAATCACGTCTCTATATAAACCCATGTAATTATCGCTGCCTTCATGTCTTGAAGCATTTCCATGGGTAGCAACACTTCTCTCAGCGATTTTTGCAATCTAAAGTGGAAAAGCAGTAAAATAACAGAAAATTGAAAATCCTAAAGTATAAAACAACTTGTACAATATATGCAGTAGATTAAAAGATTGAACCTCAAGTTAGACAAATCGCAGATCAAACTAAAAGCCCACAGAAACATGCATTTAGTATTTTGTTTGCTTCTTTTGCTTCAGTAACATAGCTGCAGTGCAGGTCTGTTCCTACAGGAGAGAGGAGGTGTATGTGCACTGATTTGGACTCTAAACCCCCTCCCAGAAGGATACAGTATGCACTTGCATTGACTTGAAGTGCAACCCAACAACAGCACTAAAAATCATTCAGAAGTTGCATTGAAATATCAACTTCATTTCATTATCACAGCACTGCTGACCTACATCAAGTCACATCTACAGTAAGCACTGAGAGATGGAGCTTCTCACATACACGATCTTCATCAGCATGTGGGAAGCTCAGTGCTGCTGGCTGCTGCTGCCACCAGCCCGCTGTGAGCGAGAGCAGGCTGGAAATCGCTGAAAGTGGCTGCGTGTCGTGTCAACACTGTCAGAGCTAAAGAGGGAGTTCCTTATCCCTCCTCTCTCTCCCTCGCTCTCTCTTCCTTCCCCTCTCTCTCTCTTCTTCTCCTTCTCTCTTTCTCTCTCGCCCGCTCCCTCTCTCTCACAGCTCAGCATCTCCACTCTCACGTTGCGTAAACCCACCGATCTGATGCTCCACAGAGGCACCATCCAGTCCATCTGAGGTGGAAAAGATTTGAATCACAGATACCGCTAGAGGTGAGTCATTTTTGAATCTCTGTCTTCCCCACTTTTTATGTATTTCCAGCACAGCTCAAAAGGCATCCTGTGTTTTAATTATCTCTTTTATCAAAGCCAACGCAGATACATAATTAGATGATATTACGGGATGACCAGAACCTATGATTTTATCACTGTCACTACTTTATTATTATTATTATTATTATTATTATTATTATTATTATTATTGTTATCCTCTCAGATATCTGTATGATGTTTGTGTGAAATCTGTGTTACAAAGTGAAGTGAATCTACTGAAAATCAGTGTAGATGTTGCAGCAGCATGATAAACGTCATATTTGGACAAGATTTAATTGTTTATTTCTTTATTGTCAGACTTGACCAGCAGCTTCATCCAAATCCATAAACCGCACTGCATTATATTCTAAACTTGTACGTCATCAGCAAGTCTGCAGCCCCCTAGTACACACTTTGCTGATTTTAAACTCTGCAGCTCAGTAAACACACTGTACAGCAAAGTTGTCACATAAGCTTCTGCCTCAAAGCTGTGCAGCGACACCTGCACTCAGTCATGAAAGAAGCTGGCAGGAATCTTATCCTGCATTAACTTTGTCTGTGGGAACTGAAGCTGGGTGGTAATATGCATCGATTTCTTTTGCTTTTGTTATGATTTGTGCAGGAAATGAAATGTGCAGCATTGATTTTACACCAGTGTTAGAGCCTGAGTCAGATAAGGTCTCTCTTTATGCTGCTGGAGCTACTTCCTATGGAAACACAAAGCCAGATGCTGCTTAGTCCAATGGCACACTGCCAGATGTTCAGTTGCTGCAACGCTTAAGTTCCTGCATCCATGCATTGATCACAGTGTCACATAACTCGCTGCCAGGAAAAGCTGTAAGGAAGTTTCATTTCAGCATGCTGCTGCCCAGCTGCTGGCAGTTTATGTGTGTGTTATGTCAGCCTTGAGTGTCACTTAATTAGAGCAGAAAAAAGCAACACTCAGTAAAAGCTGATTCATTAAAATTAAGAAAACATGACAGATTTCCACCTTGATTTTGAAAGAGATGTCCTGATTTCTTTGGTCTAATTGTCACTGTAATAACTGTCTGGAAGAAATATGATTTTCTCACTGAGCTTAGTCACCACAGGGGCAAAGCAGCGTCTCTCTGTGTGAGACGACGAGCTGCCTTTTCATTGACTGACCCAGCTGCAGCTTCTGATAAATACATCTCCTGCTGGGGGAACAAAAACACACCTCCGTGCACAACTATTATTTGGTTTGCATTATGCCCCGTTCATCTCTTCTACATGGGTTTCTTTGGCATCTGTGAATCTATGACGAGTAACTGCGTTGAAGCTCATGTAACTAGGGACTCAAAAGCCTCCGCTGGCTTTGACAGAACACGCTGGCAAATAGCCGCGTGGTTATTACTTGTACGAAGACACAGATAGGAATCGGCTTTCAGGCAGGGCTGAGTGATTCAGTTTGATGATTTACAGAATTTAATTAATTTAAATTACTTATCCATCAAAGATTGTGATGGGCCGTTCACGTCAAGGTTTCGTTAGAATTCTCAGGTCTGCTGTCTGCAAATAAAGGGGATTCATGCATTAATGTGATAAAGTGCGTTAGTTTGTTAGGAATTATTAGCCATAACCAAATAGTCTGTAAAACATTTCCCAGCAGTAAGCAAATATAGTCCAATGGTATAAAAGTCTATATCTCTATATAGTTACTGTGCAGCTTCAGTCACCTGTAGAAATTATTTTTGTAGTCACTGCCAGATTTCTTGTGTTGCTATATTCATTTAAATATATAGCAACAAATATAGCTATTATGTTACTGATAAGTTCCTCTTTCAGTAGAACTGAGGACTGTATTATACAAATGAACAGAATTTATAGACATCTTGTTGGCTGTAAATATGTAAAGGTAAATAGAAATTTTTATTTTCCAGAGTCTCATGTGCTTGAAGGATTTTTCAAAAACATTTCTCTAAAGATCAGAAACATCTGTACTTTATGGAATTAAATAATTATTTTATGCCTTTCATTTAATGCTGTGACTGTCCTTTTCAGCCGTGGCCATTAGTAGTGTTTACACGATGCTGACAGGTTTTTAAGCACTGGGAAAAGAAAATGTAAAATAAGGCAGAAATGAGCCCAGAAAAGGAGGCTGGAGGAAGAGGTAACCCAGCAATTTCCTCAGCAGCCTGTCTCTGTATTTCACCGTGCCGCACCCCTGTCAAAAAGACTGAGCGTGATCGTATCAGTTATGATAAAAAGGTTTCATGTACGTTGAGTCTTTGCTAAAGTCTACTGTGTAGTATCAAGGACACAATGCAAAGTCATAACAGTATTGATATGTGGTATAACAGATATTCTAGTCAGCTATCTTGACACATAATTTAAATAATCTTTTAAGTGTTTCTTTTGCTGCTCACAAGTAGTTAATTAACAAAAGACTTGAAGCAGTTACAAGGCAGGCAGGGTTAGGTTATGACTTGAATGGTGATGGTGCTGTTATTTTTGGGGGATTTGTCTGAGAGGGAAAAAAGAAAAAGAAACTAACAGTATGTTTGTGATAATGTAGCCATGGAAACCTTTGAAGAGGCTCCTGACCATAGTGAATTTGCTATCATCCACCCCGCTGCGATTGGACACGGTCACATCATGAGATCAGATGCAGATTGAGATTGTCAGTGTTTTGCTCGGTTAGTCGGGGATCAGAGCGAGAGGAGCTCCGCCGGCGGCGGCATCTCGGGCTCTGTTTCACCGTGAGCTGTCTGAGCCCCGTGTTCTGCCTGACGGTCCTTTCAGTCAACATAGCAATCAGACAGCCTGAAATTTGACACGTTCATATACACGTTGTATATACCATAAGGGAAAAGACTCTGTACCTTATAATGATTAAGGTACAAAAAATAAAAGCACATATTCTTGATATTTTTACTTAAAGGAAACACGAAGCTTCATTTGTATTACTCACATGCTCATAATTGTGTTTTTGAGCAAGGCCAGACAGGCATTGAGCAAAAGCAGCAATAAAACAGTGTGGAGGAAAACCATGCGCCTCTACTGATTGTTTCTTTAACACTGACAAATACAAAACAAGGCGTGTGTTAAAATTCAGCCCGCACGGCGCATATATGCATATGAAATGAAATCCACATTGTACAGCTTTAAGTGCACCAAACGCTCATTAACTAAATCTATAAAAAACATTATGTGATGTTGTAATTGTGCTTGTGTGGTATGGACAGTGGTTTCCTGCTTCATGGCATATGAGTCATACTTATGATCTTTCTTCAGGCTGCTCCCTTATTCACACGGGGCCACCACAGCAGGTAGCTCCACATATTTGAACAGGCACATTTTTATGCCAGATGCCCTTCCTGACACAACCTCAAAGGAATTTGTGTGTCCTCCCAAGATCAAATCACTGAGCTTTTGCTTGTCCTGTGTCATGTCAGCGCTATCAAGCTAATAAGCCACTTTAAACATTTGCTTTCTTGATCATAAAGTACATTTTTAGAGCATTGACAGCGGGGACAAAAACCAAGCAAACAGGGATGTCTCATGTAAGGCCAAGCACTGAAATATAATAGGAACACTGCTGCTTAGATACTGATGTGCGAAATGAATTTGCTGGCCTGGAGTTTGTTTAGGTGTTTACTTATTATCACAATTAATCAGAGTTTAAAAAAAGTAAAACAATGAAAAGCAATTCTCCATTAAGCAGAAGTGTATCGAGTGAGACTCCCAATTAGCCGAACCTGATTGACCATTTACCTTGGACAAGACTAACCTCAAAAATTCTGACACAATAACATCAATCAAAAGCTTTCAAAACACTCCCTCTAAAAGGAAAAACTGGCAAATTGTTGGAAATTGGAAAAGGGAAAAACAAGAACTACGTCGCAGATGCTGAGACGAACACACAGAGTTACAGGATGAGGAGCTCTGAAAGCTGAATCCTTGTGCTTTTGTCATTAAAATGTGTGTACTAAAGGTACTCACAGCCAAATATACTTGACCGATAAAAAGAAACTAATAATTATTTTTATTTTAAAGGACTTTTGAAAAAATTGTTAGAAAAACTGGAAATATCAATAAATACACACACACTGACAGCCAAGTGAATGATTTAGGTGCAACCATCTTTCTTATGTCACCTAAATCACACCTACAGGAATGAACCAACAGGCCTTGTTGATTCGTTCCTTTGAGGACACTGATTGGTCCAATGTGACTGAAATATGGAAAAATGGATGTGACGGTAAGCTCACAAGAATCTAGCTGCCTTGAATGCTCAGACACTTAAATTTTTTCTATTCTAAAAGTCAGCATGGGTGGATCTTTAAAGGTTACATGAACAATGCATGCATTTTGACGAATATGCCAAATGATGAAAATGGTGTCCCCATCTTCTTGGTTGCTAAGGTGAATATGGCACTCGTCGATCTCACCGATTTTTATGACTTTGTTTGCTGCACAAACTGCTATAATCTTTCTGGTCATTTCTTCATATAAGTCAGGGTAACATTTATTTATTTATTTTGCTTCAACCATATTTTTCACGCCTTTCCTCTCCGTGTGTCTTGGGAGAAGATGAAATGCCAGCAACCTCTGCAAACGGTGGAGATTCGCAGGTGTTTGTGCGTCTGTCATTACCGCATGCATGCGATTAGATTTAATTACATTTGTGCCAGTGCGTATAATTGTTGTTGTCTTGCTCTTTGAAAGGATAACGTTAGGTACCTGAAAGTACATAAGCTGCCACTTGAAGACGGTTGTTTTGTATTTTGATGTTATCTCCCAGATGAATACTGAAATAATTTAGTAGCTGTTCTTGTATTTCATTTTTGGCATTCAGTTCACAATAATAATAAATCTGTTAGCTGTAATATTCATTCATTTGCGGTTATTTATGGATTTTTGCTCTGGTTATCAGGTATATGGGGCAAAAAAGTATTTAGTCAGCCACCGATTGTGCAAGTTCCCCCACCTAAAATGATGACAGAGGTCAGTAATTTGCACCAGAGGTACACTTCAACTGTGAGAGACAGAATGTGAAAAAAAAATCCATGAATCCACATGGTAGGATTTGTAAAGAATTTATTCGTAAATCAGGGTGGAAAATAAGTATTTGGTCAATAACAAAAATACAACTCAATACTTTGTAACATAACCTTTGTTGGCAATAACAGAGGTCAAACGTTTACTATAGGTCTTTACCAGGTTTGCACACACAGTAGCTGGTATTTTGGCCCATTCCTCCATGCAGATCTTCTCGAGAGCAGTGATGTTTTGGGGCTGTCGCCGAGCAACACGGACTTTCAACTCCCGCCACAGATTTTCTATGGGGTTGAGGTCTGGAGACTGGCTAGGCCACTCCAGGACTTTCAAATGCTTCTTACGGAGCCACTCCTTTGTTGCCCGGGCGGTGTGTTTTGGATCATTGTCATGTTGGAAGACCCAGCCTCGTTTCATCTTCAAAGTTCTCACTGATGGAAGGAGGTTTTGGCTCAAAATCTCACGATACATGGCCCCATTCATTCTGTCCTTAACACGGATCAGTCGTCCTGTCCCCTTGGCAGAAAAACAGCCCCATAGCATGATGTTTCCACCCCCATGCTTCACAGTAGGTATGGTGTTCTTGGGATGCAACTCAGTATTCTTCTTCCTCCAAACACGACGAGTTGAGTTTATACCAAAAAGTTCTACTTTGGTTTCATCTGACCACATGACATTCTCCCAATCCTCTGCTGTATCATCCATGTGCTCTCTGGCAAACTTCAGACGGGCCTGGACATGCACTGGCTTCAGCAGCGGAACACGTCTGGCACTGCGGGATTTGATTCCCTGCCGTTGTAGTGTGTTACTGATGGTGACCTTTGTTACTTTGGTCCCAGCTCTCTGCAGGTCATTCACCAGGTCCCCCCGTGTGGTTCTGGGATCTTTGCTCACCGTTCTCATGATCATTTTGACCCCACGGGATGAGATCTTGCGTGGAGCCCCAGATCGAGGGAGATTATCAGTGGTCTTGTATGTCTTCCATTTTCTGATGATTGCTCCCACAGTTGATTTTTTCACACCAAGCTGCTTGCCTATTGTAGATTCACTCTTCCCAGTCTGGTGCAGGTCTACAATACTTTTCCTGGTGTCCTTCGAAAGCTCTTTGGTCTTGGCCATGGCGGAGTTTGGAGTCTGACTGTTTGAGGCTGTGGACAGGTGTCTTTTATACAGATGATGAGTTCAAACAGGTGCCATTCATACAGGTAACGAGTGGGGGACAGAAAAGCTTCTTACAGAAGACGTTACAGGTCTGTGAGAGCCAGAGATTTTCCTTGTTTGAGGTGACCAAATACTTATTTTCCACCCTGATTTACGAATAAATTCTTTACAAATCCTACCATGTGAATTCATGGATTTTTTTTTTCACATTCTGTCTCTCACAGTTGAAGTGTACCTCTGGTGCAAATTACTGACCTCTGTCATCATTTTAGGTGGGGGAACTTGCACAGTCGGTGGCTGACTAAATACTTTTTTGCCCCACTGTATATGGGGAAATTTGTATGTTTTTCCATGACTATATGATCCTTTTACATTGGAAAAGATGATTAAGCATTTTTTTGCCTAATCAGTTGATTACTGAAAACTCAAAACACTGATGATAGTGTGCATTCTTGGTGAGGCTGTGAAGTCAGACAATCATTAGCTGTCAGCGAAGGCGTTTCATGATGTCTCTCTTGATGCCACAATCAAGGCACCAAGGACTCTTTGTCAATCAATCAATAACCGACCTCCCCCTGGCACTATTACCACAGAGTGTTGGTTTGGGACCAAAATGGGCCAGGAGAGAAATACAGAGCCCGAATGAGGAGAACAAAGAGGCAGAGACAAAGACAGAGAGCCCACGATCGGAGGAGCTGAAGGCGAATGTGGTTATTGTAAGTGTGTGAACACACGCTCACAGAAATGACAGCTACATTTTGAGTCAACACCAGAAATTATGAATGAGAGCCAGTGGGGGATCGACTTGTAGTAGAGCACGGAGTGTTTAGGTACAGAATTGGGCACTGATGATACCTGAAAGTGTGGTTTACACAGCACAATGGCTTACATCTTTACATCTGCACGTTGCTTTCTGCCTCAAACATTGCATCCTCAGACTGCAACACAAGTCACTTCAGATAAGCAGGAAACATAATATCTAAACACTCCAATGCAGGCTGCACAGGTGCCAGCAACCTGCACACATTTTCATAAGATAATTTTTTTGTGGGTGTTAAATGAAAGCTCCTCTGGGCTTTTTGTTTTTCTCTCTTTTTTTCTTCTCTTATTAATGAGTCACTCTCGCCTGTGCCACTGACTCATCAGCAAACCCCAAATTGTTCGCTCTTAGACTTTCAAGTAGTTTGTGGTTTTCATGAAATACTGAGAGGCCTCTCCTGTGCCTCTGCTAATGTGATGCGACTTCTAGGAGAAGACATTCAGGAAACAGGATTGTTTGTTTTTGTTTTCTGCTTTTATGAAAGAGAATTTAAAAAAGCAACCTCACTGAAGCCATGTGAAAATGAAGTGATCTAAAAATATCACTGCAGGGGAGTGATGTACTGAGGCCCTGCACGTAGTCATAACACCTGCACCTGCATTTCTGTATGATGGAGGTGATGCCTCGTCCTATAGCGAGTCCAAACTAAAATCAGAATGAGAATGCTTTAATAATCCTGAAGGAAATTATGTACAATGATCTAAAACTTGCCTCTAACAATAAAAAGAGTACAGGGCGATAGGTTCCAGTCATTGATTTCATTCAAAAGGACACTTTATAAAACAGGCAGCAGGTTAAATTTGTTGTGTGAATCAGATTTAAAAATAAAAAATACCAGTTCTTGTAAAAGAAAACTACAAACATCTATAAACATGCAACATTCATACAGTGAAGGATTTTTTTTTATTTTTTTACATAAAACATTTTTTTTATTTGATTCCCAGCTGAATTTGTAAGTTTATTCTCTTAGAAAGAAATCAACAGTCTCTCAGTGTTCATGGTAGTCTCATTTTACTCAAAATATTTTTATTGAACGATTGTGGATGCAGTTTACGAAAAAAAAGAAAAGAAAGGGGAAACAAAAAACTTTTTACATTGAATACAAAACAGAACTTCTCATGTTAGAACATATGTAAAGAAAAAAGAAAACAAACAAACAACAACCCAGGAGGGGCGACTGATACTGACAAGCCCTTTCCTTACAAACCACACAGAAGTTAGCTTCGACAACACTGAGCTTCACATTCCCATTAACACAGACACACATCGGTGTAGAATAAGCAAAGTTAGTCAGTTAGTCATCCTTAAATTAAAAGTTAGAGAAGTTTGTCAGAAAAAGACCCCAGATTTGATCAAATGTGCCCTTTTGGTTCTGGATGGAGCAGTGGATCTTTCCAAGACTGGGACACGACATGAGATCAGCAAAGCACTGAACATGGTAGAGACGTAATATCAACCAAACATCTGGGAAAAAACACAGCACATAAAGCTTATGAATTGATTTGCATGTTACTAAATGAAAGAAGAATTTGGTCCTCAGCAAAACACGACTTAGTACTTTAGTCAGATGTTTCTCTTCCTCTTCTCTTCCTCTCCTCAAATCATTTAGGTTTCTGGGCTGCTGCTAAGAAGTCGAAGCATGAGGTAGGCCACGCTATGACCTTAACATGGGGGGCTGTAGAGACTGCTCACTTTTGGAGACCACCAGAAGTGTGTACTAGTGGACATGGAGTTTTTGACATTTCCATATTAGCTTCCTTTTTCAGAAGCTGGGCTGACAACAAAAGAACATAGTATCAAGTCTCACTCATGCTGGCTCACTGCTGTTGATGTACTAAAGACTAAAGATATCTGAAATGTTTCACTGGGCTCCTTAATAACACTTTAACTACCATAGCCCATGAGTCTTGTTTCCGACACATACATATTCACTTATGGCTGCATTTATTTTCTTCTTTTAATTCTTTCCCCCATGAAATAGAAAATGTCACATGGCAAAGTCTTGATTTTATGAACATGGCAATGATTCCAGGGAGCTTCGATGTTGAGATCTGAATTCAACATAACAAGCACGGCTGCAACACAAAATACTACTGAAATGATGTGACGCAGATAATCAACAGAATCTCAAACACCTGTCATCGAGAGCTGAGGCAGTTTTCTCAAGTATTTCGTTGAGGTTTTTGTAGTTGTAGAAGTTACAGGTGGGATATTGTACACATGTTTACATTTTATGAAACTCACTTGGGTCATGCCTGAAAGAAGCTTTGTGGTACTGAGGTCAGTTTTATCTTTGTGTTCTGCAGTCAACCCATTGTGGCTGATAGTTTATTGATTATTGTGACATTTTCTAAATAATTCCAACATAAATTATATTTTTCCATCACAGCGATTGCATCTCATCAATAATCAGCTTAAGATAGCTGTCGTTTGAATTACTGCTTGAAAAACTGAACTGCAAGTCCTGACGTTATTCGGTCAGCCCATTCTCCTCGTTTTCCCCTGTCAGGTTGCAGCAGCAGGCGTGACTGCTATCTGGAGCATGTTTATATGTGGATTCTGAAAGTACAGAGCACATGACTTTGTCTCCAGTGTCTTTCTTGTTAAGCTGTTTGGTTAAAGTTCATATATTACTGCGAACTAGTGCTAGTTGCAGACTAATGAAATAACTGAGAGCAAGCCATATCATTAATCAGATAATTCATTAAGATTCTACATAAGTCATCAGCACTGCACCACAATTACGATGCAGCGCTTCATTTCAGTGATTTGAGTTAGTCTAGGTAAGGCCCAGCAGGTCACATGTTTTCCCAACACAAGTCAAAGCAGCAGCATGCCTAATTTTAAGCCTTGAATAAATGTGTTTTTAAATAAAACCTCGAACACTGTGATCCTTTTTAGACATTTGGATTTAGAGCCCGCCTCCAATGGCCAATCAAGGAACTGCAGATTTTGACACTTCTGTCTTTGCCTTATTTTTCAGGTTGCCATTAAAAGATTCACCAACTATTTGTTAGGTACACGTATTGAACTGTTTGTTAATTCAAACATAAAACCAAAACCACATCGGAGCAACTGTATATATCTTCAAGATGAACTGCTGAAGTTCAAAATGAGCATCAGAATAAAGATTTACTGTGAAATTAAATGTGCCATGGTTGCAGGTACCTGCTGAGATTTTCCTGGACATCCATTTCTAGGGTTCACAGTGAATGGCAATTCTCAAAAGGAATTTACAAACTGAGCTGACAGGAAAGAAACAGTAACTCAAATACGCACTTCTTACAACCATGGTATGAAGAAGAGCATCACATAACGGACAACATGCCAAACCAGGAAGCATATTGGTGCCAGTAGCTGACTGTTAGCACTCCTATTAGCTAAGAACAGGAAACTGAGGGTACAATTCATATGGGCCCAACAAAATTGGAACGGAAGATTGGAAAAATGTTGCCTGGTTTGATGAATCTCGATTTCTACTGTGACATTTAGATGCTAGAGTCAGAATCTGGCATAAACAACTTGAAGAATGGATCCATTCTGTCTCATATCAGTGGTTCAGGCTGCTGCTGGTGGTGATTGTTGGCATACTTTGGGCCCCTCAGTACGCACTAAGCATCGTTTAAATGCCACAGCCCACCTGACTGTTGTACCCATCTTCTGAAGGCTGTTTCCAGCAGGATGACGCACCATGTCACAGAGCTTAAATCACCTCAAACTGTTTTCTTGAAGATGACAGTGAGTTCACATTACTCAAACTCCACAGTCACCAGATGCAACAGAGCACCTTTGGGATGTTGTGAATTGGGAGATTTGCTTCAAGGATGTGCAGCAGCTGCATAACCCTTGTTCAATTTATGCATAATTAACACAGTTCTGATATGCAAAAGGCTTCCAAACCGGTACAAGCAAGGTGTACCTAAAAAAGTGTCTTTTTAAAAAGACTCTGTATTTAAGCAGCCCTCTGACTCCTTTGAGGCCTGGCCCTGTGCCCAGGGGCTGTACCTGAGGACTGTTTAGTAATCCAAGCACAAATGTGATTGAATTCTCTGCTGTGCTCTGTGTTCATGTCTAGCTCTGTCTCAAACAGAAAAATATTTGAAATAAAATTTCAGTTTTTCATAAGAGCCAGCAAATAGACAACGGATCTTTCACGAGCTTGCTAATGATTTTTTTATTTATTTTTTTGCAAAGCATCAGTTTCTAGTTTTCAGAAAACACTTTCATCTCCTTTGCGAGCTGAAATAATTAATCTTCATTCTTTGAGCATTAGAAACAGAAATAGTCAAAGCTGGTTAAAGAGTCATCAGTTTCCATATATCTGGTAAATGTTGTGAGAGATATTTAAAAGTATTTACATGTGCCAAATCCTTAAACCGGTGTGAGAAGACACACATCATAGAAAATATTCAAATATATAGCCACCTGCCTCATATTGTTTAGATCCATTTTATGTTGCCAAACAGCTTTGAGCCACAAGGGTACAGGTCACAGGACCTTTGTGGTTTCTGGCAGCACTTGTTGGCAGCATATCCATATGACAGGGAGATTGGAGGTCCAGTATTATTCCAGCACATCTTTTGGCAGCCCAATTAGACTGCAGGCCAGGGTCAACAGCTTGATCTTTCTGTGGTCCTCTGTCCCTGAATAGACTTTCTCATAATTCTCTAAAGCGGATTTGAGCAACTGTTCTCCAGATTTTATGAAGGTCTTTCTTTGAGCATTGGCTTCTTTTTCACTTATTTTTAGTCCAGTCAAGTCCAGAGTAGTTTTGCACCAACAATATGATTCCCAAAAAATCGGAAAACAACAGTGTGTACTTAACAAAAACAGAGAAAACTGTAAACGTGGATGAAAAAGGACAAAGTGACTATCTGCAGTAGATAAACTGTATCTGACACAGGATCTGTTTGTCTAAGACTCATCAGAAAGGCTCTCAGTGGAATTTTGTCTGTAAGGAAGGAGAGGACTTCAAGAGAGAGGCGCGAGTGTCTATAGACATCTTTAAAACATGGTGGAGGCTCTGTGATGGTTTGGGGTTTCAGCCGGTGGTGTTGGGGATCCTAAAAATCCTAGAAACAACATGAAAGCTTGCCTAAGAGTTCACCCTATGTTGGGGAAGTGAGGAAGTCATGCCAAATATTGACTTTGATGCTTGTCACAATTGTGCAAACTCAGTTTTTGCCTTATATAACGCCACATATGTTTGCATGTGAAATGAGAGGTCGCTCCGGATAGGGGAAGGTTGCTCTATCTGTAACAATTTTACAGACAGGTGGTCAGTGTGTGTCAATGTGACATCCACATGAGAACCCAGCCAGGAAGTGCATTACAACAAGATGATCGATGGTAATGACTTCACCTGCCAATACATCTAAAGTTGCTCTAGTTGTTGTGGATTTAAGTGATGTAAGCACTTCAAAAGGTTAAATGCAATGTGTGAGCATAAATTATACTTTTGATTTTAAATGGCTGTGTCTTATATTTGAATTGCTTAAGATTACTGTCGTGTTAATTGGTGCTGGAAAAACTGAATTGTGCTGACATAATTAATAATTTTTTCCTGCAGATAAAGCACACGGATATAATTAAAATGTCTTAATGATTCTCAGTGTAGCTTTTTCATTTAGCGCTGCAGTAGTGGTTAATTGCTGTACCTGCTAAGCTCATTGTGCCACTTTGGAAAAGGATTTAGATAATGGCATTCTGCTGAAATGAGACAGAGTGGACGTAATGCTGAATTTAGTTTACCGCTTCACTTCACTTGAACAGTTTTATTTTGATATCGGTGCTTTCCTCAGTTCCCATTCGGTATCTAGACGTACTAACAATGTGTGCAAATTTATAAGTAACCAAAAGCGCATCATTTGACATAACCGCAGGGTCCAGTTATGAGGTCATGTGTTAAGAAACAGAGGAATCACTTAGCTGCATGAAGGATTTAACAGTTTGTTTTTTTTCGTCTGATTCGTCATATTAGTGACTCTTAACAGTGAAGCTTTCTTATGTGCCCTCTAACTTGAGAGTGTGATGTCAGGTCACTGCACCAGTTTAATTTATTAGGAAAGAGAAACGTTCAAAACAAATGGCAATGAAATTTGTTGTAAATAAATTTTAGCTCACTGATGAAAGTCAGGAACTATTTTCAAAGCCATCCTTTAGTGATTGTGGCTGTTTTACGTCATTGTAATTAAGTGATTTTCCTTCAAAATGTCAGCAGCCAGCTTATCATATAACACATCCAACTTAATTCAGAGCAGCCAATGACTACGTTCACCTACACTCACATGTATCTGCTGCTTTCAGCGTGGCATTTTTGTAAACTGGCTTGAAAAGGATTGCAATATTTTACACATTGCTTGTCTCTGTGTTAAATGTGTTCAATTTGTCTTGTGAAAATGTTTGTAAATTAAATAAAGTATGACGTTATTAGCAGGGATGGGTTACCTTAGCATAAAGGATAGGAACACAGTGAAACCACTAGCTTGCCCAGTTTTACCCAAAGGCAGGAAAATCTGCAAACCAGTAGCTAGCAAAGTAGCAGATTATTGTGCACTCGCTGTATCTTGTGAGTTTACCAGTTTAACACACAAGACCCGGCCAAGAATCAGTCCACCACATAACCTGTAAAGCTACGACATGTCAGATTACACAAATTAAGTGAGGGTTTCTTCTTCTTTTTTATACATGTCAGGCTGCTTCCCGTTCTCCAAATCAAAACTAAGTCAAGCCTAAAACAGTCATCTGGTTTTAGTTTGTGTTTAATGTACTTCTATTTGCAGTGCAATACAAAATGTAAACACTCAGAGTGGTTGCTGTCTTGGTTTTATGGAACTTTCCTAGCACCATTTTTTTTGCTGAAGCAGGCAGTAAATGGTAAATGGCCTGTATTTATATAGCGCTTTACTAGTCCCTAAGGACCCCAAAGCGCTTTACATATCCAGTCATCCACCCATTCACACACATGGTGATGGCAAGCTACATTGTAGCCACAGCCACCCTGGGGCGCACTGACAGAGGCGAGGCTGCCGAACACTGGCGCCACCGGGCCCTCTGACCACCACCAGTAGGCAACGGGTGAAGTGTCTTGCCCAAGGACACAACGACCGAGACTGTCCAAGCTGGGGCTCGAACCGGCAACCTTCCGATTACAAGGCGAACTCCCAACTCTTGAGCCACGATCGCCCTACTATCTAAAACCACTTTTTATTATCTGATCAGCACCAAGCATTAGAAAAGGATGTTAATGGGGGCCAAACTAGGACCACACACAGGAGTTACATTTGCAAGGAACCGAATACTATTTGTATGTTGTTTAACCTCTGGGTGGTCTTGGGTCGATTTGTGCCATTTTTCATTGTTCGTATACACGCCATTTGCACTGTGTTGAACGGAATATAGCCAACTTTTCCAAAAAAAAGTCTGGTTACATATATTTCAAAATTCCAGTCTGACTCCCTTAAATTAGCTTCAGTGGCTGAGCTACAGATAAACTTACACTATTGGTCCTAGTGGTCGATTTGTGCCCCATTGAAACCCATTATAAACGCTATTTCCCATTCCACGGTCATTACAACCAAATAATGGGCCATCTTCCGAATGTTGGTGGTACTCGGGAGTCCGGGCCTTGGAATTGTATCTTTTGGGAAATATTTGATTTCTTTGTTTTTTGGGGCTAAAAAAACAGTGCGGCCATGTGACGAAACCGGGATATAAAGGGTTAAAATCCGCGAAATGTAATTAAAACTTGATATGAATATTTCAAGGAGAAGTAGGTCTAAAAGATTGGCTAATTTAAAGTGGAAAAAAATATTAATATATAGATATTTTATGGCACTTTTCATGGCGTGGTCGATTTGTGGCTCTAAGCCCAATAGTGTATGCATTTTTCTAGGACCCCCCAGAGGTTAAATAAACAAGGTGCTTGGGGTGAATCATGTTTGTTTGCAGCATGTGTAATTGAAGCTGGCATAATATTAAGCATGATCTCAATATTACAAAGCTTACGTGAAGCATGACACAGTCTCACGTTCTTTTTCTTGTTTCTTCTTTCAGCCTGCTTGAAAAATGGCCTCCAGGTAAGAGTTGCGATGATCCAGACCCGACCCACAGCAGAGATGAATGTGTCTGATGAATCCTCCTACCAAGAGGAGGTGCTGCTGGGTAACTCTACCTGGGGCTACTCCTATTATCATCAAAACTACACCCTGATCCCTCCACTATCAGAGAAGGCTAGCACCTCCAAACCTGCAGCATGCGAGCAGGTCCACATCGCTATCGAGGTCTGTAGCACTTTGGATTCATTTATTTATCTCGTGATTTCTTCTTGGCTACCACTACCCCAACTGTCTCTTCACTGGTCTGTATTTTGATCTCCTCTCCTAAGGTCTTTCTGATCCTGGGTATCATCTCACTGCTGGAGAACATTTTAGTCATCACAGCCATAGTGAAGAACAAGAACCTACATTCCCCCATGTACTTCTTTGTCTGCAGGTAAACTCCTCAGTGGTTTAAGACATAAAGGGGGAAATAAAATAATAATCTACGAGGACCACCCAAAACCGTTTTAATAAAGTGAGCTTACCATGTGTAAAAGATTTTTGTTAAGCAGCAGTTTATTAAAATATGCTTCTATCCTTCAGTGCTTACTCTCCGTCTTGGTGTAATACAGCCTTTCCCAGGGGCAAAATGCAATATAGGTCCCAAGTGAAACCTTGTTCACTCTTGTCAACATATTAGTGTAAATGGATACATTTAGGATTAGAATACACCCTTATGTAACCATTATAATTGGATAACAATGCATGCCTCCCCTCAAGGCCCATATCATTTGAGTTCACATTGTTATTTTCAAGCCCTTCTCAAATAACCATAACAACGCTGCATCCACACAGGATGCATTTTGGAGGAATGCGGCGACCAGAGACCACAGAAAGACGATAAAATGTAACAACTTCAAAAAAGCAAAAGCAAACAAAAACAAACAAACAAAACAATGAGATAAGCATTTCTCAACTTAGATGCAAGTGATTGAAGCAACTATCAGTGAGAGTGCAGGATATGCTCCATTAGACCATCCTGACTGACCTATGACCTGATAGCAAATACGTTTGAGGATGACCTAGGAAAGCAATTCAGCAGTTCAGTCAATTCAATTCAGTTCAGTTTTATTTATGTAGTGTAAAATCATAACAAGTTACTTCAACTTATAAGGTAAAGACCCTACAATAACACCCAGAAAACCTCAGATGAGAAGGAATACATTATATCTCTGACAGAACCATGCAGGGGCAGCCATCCGTTGCCACCAGTTGGGGTTGAGGAAGATGGGTCTAAAGACATACTGTGGAAAAATAATAACAGTACTATTAATAATAACTAATAATGAAACCACAACAACGATCCTGGAATATTCCCTAGCAAACAACTATCAGCTTCAATGCAATGTGAATAACCCCCTGTGTGGATGGATTTTAGGTATCTGCCAGACACTGAACCAATAACTTTCGGAGTAGCCTATGTTGATGTAATTAATAGACATGAACCGTTATCAATTATGTTCAGAAAGGTCCTGATTTATCTTTTGTGACACAAATGATTAAAGTGGTTCAGTCCTGCTTTGTAAAACCGAGACAGCTATCCAGGATTAGATTAATCCTTTCTGTTCTAAAAAGGTCATCAATGCTTTTATCGTCTATAGAATTGAATATTGTAATGCACTTTACTCTGCTCCAGAGGCTACAGCTGAAGTTGCCTAGCTTTAAAACCACAGAAAGAGAAGCAACCACAACATACCAATCCCTCCCTGTTGCCCTTCACTGGCTAACAGTAGTTTTTATTGAGAATAGTCTGGCTCCTGAGGTCCTCTGGCAGTGCTCTGTTAAAGGTTCATGAATAAAGGTTCTGGAAAGGTCATGAAAGGTTACCGGGCCTTTGCCTACTAGGCCCCTCAGCTGTGGAACTGCCTGGCAGGAGATGCCAAGCGAGCTATCCTACTGGTCTCTTTTAAATTGAAAGCAAGGAGAACACAAGGAAGCATGCCAGCAAGCAAACAAGCAAGTAAATAAGAAAGAAAAATAATACAAGTAACCATAAAAAGCAATTTAGATGGCTTACAGGCTCAGGTAGAGCGAACTTTTGTTTTGTAGAAGTGTGACTTCAAGGTGACAGTCTAGAGTATGCTTCTATGTGATTACACAACAGGATTTTTTGCCAGAATTCAAAGAAATAATGAGTTTCAATTTCCAAACCTTCTCCTTCATGTAACTGATTAAAAAGCTCAGTTGTGCAAAAAATATTTTTCTTTTGCCTGAAGTGGAAAAGTTGGTTTATTTATAAAAGCCGAAGAACAGTTGAAGATAACTGGTCATCCTGAGCTTGGCAGAAGCAGATTTCCAATATAATCCAATGTGAAATCTAATCATTCTTTCCACTTAGAAAAATGTCATGCAGCATGTGTTGCCAGAGGAAACATGTGAACTCTTGAAAATGACATAAATCTTTTATCCTGATTATAAATGGTTAAATAAAACCATTTGTAGCAGGGAGTTACAAAAGAGGCTTTTTGATCTTATAATCTTGTGGCCTCCTTAGACTAATCATTAGGTAACGATGATTTAAACAACTTATGATTAACCTTCTTTCTTTAAATTTGTCTCCAACCAATAGAGATCTGTGGACTCAAAAATCATGACATATTTGGGGCAGCTGCCACATCAAAATCAAGTCACATTTTTAATGACCCTACTGTATAAATCAGAAAAATACTTGGATGTCTGTTTTCACATCAGCACCAATTTCTTGTGACTTTGTTTGGGTCTGTCTTCTGATTTGAAAGACTTAATCCTCTTACTAAGACAAAAGCAAACGTGTTTCAGCTGTGCAGAGACACAGCAGACATTCAACTAAGTCTTTGAATTTCTGGCGAGCTGCATAGCGCTTCTGTTCATGTGGTTCTGAATGACTGCCACGGCGTAACACTGAGGTACAGTGAGTTACTGCACAATAACACTATTGTTATCTTTTATTTGAAAATCCATTTGATTCATGGGGGGAAAAGAAATACATTCCTACTTAATGTGTTGTTTTCCTTCTCTCTATAGGTAAGTTGTGAGTATTTGGTGAGTCAGTCCACGATGTTGATCGTGATATAATATGCTGCCTTGGTAACCAAGACAATAGAGGAGAGCCTGTTGCTTCCTGTGGGCTGCAATCTTAACATATTACATGCCACCTCCACTCAACGTGGTGTTAAGAGCTTGTGCTCATTATTATTTCTGTGACACTTGGCTGTCATTTTCTTTGGCACTTGAACAAATTGCTTTGCCAACAAGGTTCAACTAGATGTCCTGGAGAACATATTATTGTAGTTTCATAAATTCTCATTTGAACACCAAAACACCAAAATGGCACCAAAGCATAGAAATGCATCTTAAGCTACATGTTTTAAATATCACCTCTTCTGGCCAAGAAGCTTTTACTCATTATACGAATCATTTGTCAAGTCAAGGCATGGAGTCCAAACGTGGAAAGCTGTGGAAAATCTAGAAAACGAACAACAGCCAGATTGTTGACCTTGCTCTGTGACACCTCTGAAATAATGTGACAACTAAAACTAGACTTTTCCTGACTCTAAATTTAGTCCAGGGCAAACAATTCAGAGTTAAAATCGGGACTAATCAGGTTCTGAGTGGTGTATCTAGAGAGCTGTAAACATGTTTGTGGTTATTACAGTGAAAGAACCTTTTCCTTACTTGGCTCATATGTTTGTGTGTGATTTCAGTTCAATTGTGTTAGTACAGTGAAGGAAAAAATAACAGTAAACTCAGACAGATGAGATTGTGCTGAAAAGAACAAGGCAAGGCAAAAATAAATAAATAAATTTAAAGGTGAATCACAAAAATAAAATAAAAAAATAGTCCGAAATGGCCAATTATACCCTGGACTCCAGAGCGTTAACCAAATAAAACATGAAAAATTTGTGAAAAAATGGGTTCATTTGTGGCATTTTGTGTAAATTTAAGCAATTTGATTATTTCTAATTAAAAAAGATTGTGAAACTTTAGTTAGACTTGTGTTTGTAAATGAATCACCTCATGTTGTGTAGCTTTATTGATTTTATGCTTATTGTTCTACATACTTATTCATCATACAGGCTAGTACATGAAATCAAAATTCACATGTTTTATGTAACTGAAATGTTTAATTATGTGGGCTAAAGAAAAGAAAATTATAGACTACGTTTATATGAAACATCTGTATACTTACTGCTTTTGATGTATTTTAACTGTATATAATACATATTACAGAATATTACAGAATACAGAATTTTTTACACATGCATATGTGTAAAAAAATTAATTGCTTTGATTTTGCCACCCCATTTGATTTCCATGCCACCCAAAGAAAATTTGCCTAGATCCGCCCCTGCCTCTCTTCACACTATGCACACTATGTATATACTCTGACCATCAGCCACCAGCAGTTATAGGATCACTGTTTTAACCATTTTTGCTGTGGAAAAACATCAAATTTTACATGTAAATATACATAAATAGCATAGACGTGTTGTTTATTTTTAAGAAGCTCTTAAAATATTAGTATTATTTAGAAACAGTGTTTGGAAACAGCATCAAGCGTCTGTCTGTCTGCAGTGCAGTGCAGTTTTTTTTTTCGTGACCACTTTTAACTGGGGAGATAGGATCCATTTTTCCACCATCTTTGCTGGCTTTGTTGCTTGTGCAAAGGCTGTGAGTGCATGTGACTGTCAAAGCATTGCCTCAACTGCACCTCCGGAGAACGCGAAAGACTGTACTCAGGCATTAAATCAATTAATTGGTTTTCCCAGTATGACTGTGAGAAGAAAGTGTTTACACAACAGGAGGGTGAATGCAGCTATTCTGTCAGCTCCTGAATACACAGAAGGAAGTGCATATAGAAACATTTATTTGAACATCTGTTTGCAGAATAAAGGTTGTATAAAGTATTTTGGTTTTTTGCAGTTTGGCAGTAGCAGACATGCTGGTGAGTGTGTCCAACGCCTGGGAGACCATCATCATTTATCTTCTCAACAACAGGCAGCTGGTGGTGGAGGATCACTTTATCAGGCAGATGGACAACATGGTGGACTCCATGATCTGCATCTCTGTCGTTGCATCCATGTGTAGCCTGCTGGCCATTGCTGTGGACAGGTAATGATGGAAGGGAGTATAAGCACAAATATATCTTTTTTTTTTTTTTTTTTTGCTATTGTTTCTTAATAGTTTCCTTTTGAAATGTTTTTAAGGGAACTGAAGTTTTAATTGAAGGCTCTAGTCACAATGAATCCTCATCCATCAGCCCAACACCACAGCCCCCAGTTTCCTAATAATGTTCTTAAACATAACTGACGTGTTACAATTTATAACAACAAAAAAGGACCCTGTAATTTTATGATTAATTTTAAGGAAAATTGAGGCAGTGCTTATTTGGCACTCGTTCAGTTAATCCCTGTCATGTGTTCCCTCTGACATTTCCTTTTTTTTTCTCTCTCTTTAAACAGTTTTTATTCATTATCAAGAAAAGCATGAAACATAACAAAGCAAACAAAAAAGAAAGAAAGAAAAGAAAAGAAAAAACCCCAAAGGGAATACAGTGGGGCAAAAAAGTATTTAGTCAGCCACCGATTGTGCAAGTTCCCCCACTTAAAATGATGACAGAGGTCAGTAATTTGCACCAGAGGTACACTTCAACTGTGAGAGACAGAATGTGAAAAAAAAATCCATGAATTCACATGGTAGGATTTGTAAAGAATTTATTCGTAAATTAGGGTGGAAAATAAGTATTTGGTCACCTCAAACAAGGAAAATCTCTGGCTCTCACAGACCTGTAACGTCTTCTGTAAGAAGCTTTTCTGTCCCCCACTCGTTACCTGTATGAATGGCACCTGTTTGAACTCATCATCTGTATAAAAGACACCTGTCCACAGCCTCAAACAGTCAGACTCCAAACTCCGCCATGGCCAAGACCAAAGAGCTTTCGAAGGACACCAGGAAAAGTATTGTAGACCTGCACCAGACTGGGAAGAGTGAATCTACAATAGGCAAGCAGCTTGGTGTGAAAAAATCAACTGTGGGAGCAATCATCAGAAAATGGAAGACATACAAGACCACTGATAATCTCCCTCGATCTGGGGCTCCACGCAAGATCTCATCCCGTGGGGTCAAAATGATCATGAGAACGGTGAGCAAAGATCCCAGAACCACACGGGGGGACCTGGTGAATGACCTGCAGAGAGCTGGGACCAAAGTAACAAAGGTCACCATCAGTAACACACTACAACGGCAGGGAATCAAATCCCGCAGTGCCAGACGTGTTCCGCTGCTGAAGCCAGTGCATGTCCAGGCCCGTCTGAAGTTTGCCAGAGAGCACATGGATGATACAGCAGAGGATTGGGAGAATGTCATGTGGTCAGATGAAACCAAAGTAGAACTTTTTGGTATAAACTCAACTCGTCGTGTTTGGAGGAAGAAGAATACTGAGTTGCATCCCAAGAACACCATACCTACTGTGAAGCATGGGGGTGGAAACATCATGCTATGGGGCTGTTTTTCTGCCAAGGGGACAGGACGACTGATCCGTGTTAAGGACAGAATGAATGGGGCCATGTATCGTGAGATTTTGAGCCAAAACCTCCTTCCATCAGTGAGAACTTTGAAGATGAAACGAGGCTGGGTCTTCCAACATGACAATGATCCAAAACACACCGCCCGGGCAACAAAGGAGTGGCTCCGTAAGAAGCATTTGAAAGTCCTGGAGTGGCCTAGCCAGTCTCCAGACCTCAACCCCATAGAAAATCTGTGGCGGGAGTTGAAAGTCCGTGTTGCTCGGCGACAGCCCCAAAACATCACTGCTCTCGAGAAGATCTGCATGGAGGAATGGGCCAAAATACCAGCTACTGTGTGTGCAAACCTGGTAAAGACCTATAGTAAACGTTTGACCTCTGTTATTGCCAACAAAGGTTATGTTACAAAGTATTGAGTTGTATTTTTGTTATTGACCAAATACTTATTTTCCACCCTGATTTACGAATAAATTCTTTACAAATCCTACCATGTGGATTCATGGATTTTTTTTTTCACATTCTGTCTCTCACAGTTGAAGTGTACCTCTGGTGCAAATTACTGACCTCTGTCATCATTTTAGGTGGGGGAACTTGCACAATCGGTGGCTGACTAAATACTTTTTTGCCCCACTGTATATTTTAGTCATTTATACTGTAGCAAATCAGAAGGGTAAAGAGGAGAGAAAAATACTGCTTGCACTAAATCTTAGTTGTCAGTGCTGAACAGATCAAAGTGTTTTTGTTGTCTCACTGTGTGAATGAATTAAATTTTAAGCAGATGAGTAAACCAGCCTTGATGCAGTTTAATTTTTTGTTTTAAATTGACATTTTATTTCTTAATTTCCACCTTCTTTCTCTGATACACACAACAAATTTGGTTCATTCATCATGGGGATCGCTGCTTACTCTAATGCATCTGTGCAAATGTTAAGACAGGCAGAAAATTTTAGTTTTTTTTACTTTTTACTTTGCAATAAATTATCTGGCAAGACAGAAAACTCAGAAAATGTCCATCTTTCTCTGATTTCCCTTTTCTTTCTTTTCCATTTTTGTATGCTTGTGAAGTAGATTTTAAACCCTTGAAATGTGCAGGTTTTTTTCATCTTCACCATTCGTGTCTTTTTATGGTCTTTTCACATTGAAAAAAATGGATCTTTTAATTTCATCTGAGCTTGAGCTCAACTTGGAGCCTGAATATTTAACAGCAAAGCTGTATTATTAAGAGATGAATATTTCATAGGCACCGATGGCACACTTTCTTGATCTTGTGCTTTCATTTTGACCATTCTATTTCAAAAAGGTCTGCCTCAAATCTCCTAATTCGGTGGGTTAACCTACCATGCAAGTCTTTGGACTGTGGGTGGAAGCCAAAGAACCCACGCAGGTTTACGGAGCACCAGTATGCCGCTCTAAAATTTTCTCTGACACAGTAATTTTATAACTTCTTAGTTCTAGAACCTAACAAATGACAATAATTGGAAGAATTGCAATAAGGCCTTCAAACTATTCAGTGCCTGTTCTTTATTAGTTCGTCCTGATTGCACACAACCATTCACAGCTACATTTAGCATGTGATCACTATTTTAAAAGTGTGTCTTTGTTACCATTGATTACCATTTAATCAATTGTCTGCTTAATAATGAATGTAGAATAACTGGAAAAACTGTTCTTTTTTAAATGTTTGTCAGACATGTTGATATTTGATCCATATACATTTAACTGAGTTAAATCTTACTCTTTCTAACATATTGGCATTCCTTTTGTTCCCTTTTCCATGCTTGCTATTCCTTCATGTACTGGAGCATGTATAAAACTGCAAACATTGCATAGATCATCATACTGGATGATACTGTACCATCCCCAGAGGCTGTTTGAAAGAGGTGGACTCGGGTCCATATTAGGCTGACTCTGATTCAGTATATGAATCAGGTATAAATACATGGTGTACAAGAATCAGGAAACTTGACAATATGATATTCATTTGGTTTCTCAGTGACATTTAATATTTACGAGATTGTCTCAAAGACATATAAATTACATTCATACCAGAGGTTACAACAGAGCCACCAAATAACAAAATTGCACCTTTTATGCCTAACGTTATCCTCATTGAATATTGAATGTCTCAAGAATAAATGTCTCACTTCATGTGACCTGTAGTCTGGTTCCCTCTCTGTGAGTTATTGTATTCAGCACACACACAGTCCCCGTTATGTTTAAATGTCAAGTTTTCTGACTTGAAACGATTTTGTAATTCATCAGTGAGCAATAAATGTTGATATAAAATTAGAGGTTACTGAGGTGGATACTATGTTATTATCCACAGGTACGTCACCATCTTCTATGCACTGAGGTACCACAACATCATGACGGTGAGGAGAGCTGGCTGTATCATCGGGGGAATCTGGACCTTCTGCACTGGCTGCGGAATTGTCTTCATTATCTACTCAGACTCCACTCCTGTGATCATCTGCCTGATCTCTATGTTTTTTGCCATGCTGCTCATCATGGCCTCCCTCTATAGTCACATGTTCATGCTCGCTCGCTCGCACGTGAAGCGCATTGCTGCCCTGCCCGGCTACAACTCCATCCATCAGCGCACCAGCATGAAGGGGGCTATCACACTGACCATCCTTCTGGGGATCTTTATCGTCTGCTGGGCTCCTTTCTTTCTCCACCTCATCCTGATGATCTCTTGCCCACGGAATCTCTACTGCGTGTGCTTCATGTCCCACTTCAACATGTACCTCATCCTCATCATGTGCAACTCAGTGATTGACCCACTGATCTATGCCTTCAGGAGTCAGGAGATGAGGAAGACATTTAAGGAGATCATCTGCTGTTACAGTCTGAGAAACGTCTGCACGAACATCTGTGCTTTGACTGGTAAGTACTGAGAAATAGAAAAGACCAGTGAAAGGATGGGTAAAATGAACTAACTGAATATGACGCTGGAATAGAAATACTACTACCCAAGGACTGGTTCACTGCACTTTTCAGACAGTACAGTGTACCGTCACACAAGCAACTATTGAAAAGTATAAGCTGGAAAGGAGACTGGAACATTGAGTTATCTCCTAATGCGTCCACCATGTACACAAAAAGTTTACGAGATGCATTATTTTAAGGCTTAGTTAGGATCATCTAAAGTCCAAGCCCATGATTCATATTAGCGTGCGTCACACAAAACTGTTTGTGGCCTGCTTTTCATTCTCCCTGACATTTCTTTTATCTTTTTTCCTTTGGCCTTTCTTTTTTAATAGGCAAGATTTTTATTCTCTGTTCCCAGAATATGTCTGATGCAGTAGCCAAATGGATAGACAGGATATTTTTCTTTCAGTGCTGCAAGAGTGCTCATATACTGGCTTTAAATTACAGAACTGCTGCCAAATGTACCCGAATGTACCCTTTGTTAATTTAGACGGCTGGATGTACTTCCTTGAACATTAACCTCACATGCATAAATTAACAAAGGCAATGAAGTCAGCAAAAGTTGGGGAAGGTGTGGTAAGAATTATCCACATCCATATGTTAGTGAGTTTTGTTTAGTTTTTTTTTTTCTCGCTTTTCTTTCAAGCTGTGACTACAAATTAAAACAGCAATTTTACACATCAAAGTCTGTTTCCCAGTTATGGAGAGTAGTGCTTCGGTTAGTAAGTAGTATCTAGGTTTTTTTTTAAAGACCCTTAAACAAGCGCAAGTGAAACAACACTTATATTTATTCAGATTTTGAATATAATAATCAAAAATCTTTTCCACATCTTTCACAGAGTCCTCTACCAAATCTGTTTGTGATGCTGAATAATTATTTTGAATTTCAGGAGGGTCAGAGAAAAAGAGTAGCACGTCCTCTGCATAGAAGACTCTCTGTCATTCACTGGGTGTTCCATCAGGGCCAGCAATGGTTGTCCAGTTAAATCTAAAACCAGACATCAATTAAAACATTACGAAAGTGAAAGTGATCTCTCAGACATCATTCATGTGATAAAGGATTTCATGTTGGCTGAACTAACCCTGTAAAATGCTCTTTGTAGCTGCAGTTGCCTATACTCTGTTTGTCTATTAGGTACTGGAATCTACAGTTTCACTTATTTTCTTTGGTGTGTACATGTCCTGTTAACAAAGGCAAACTTAGAACAAAAACAAAGACAATTTTAAGATGGCAAAAACGGCAGTTCCCCTTGATGCCACCTGGATAGTCTGGACAGTTTCACCACTTGCAAGAAATCAATGTTGAGTATTTAATGGAGATTAATGATCCTCACAGGCAGCCACATTACAAAGTTCCTATGATGCACAGAGCGCTTCTTGTGCACCACTACTGAATTTAATCATTAACCATTATTAAACTCTGGCTGTCTCTGCTATAGTTTTGCTTTTGTCCTGTCTCGCTCTGTTCTCTTCTCATTCTCCTCACCCCCAATCAATCATGGTAGATGAGCCTGGTTCTGCTGGAGGGTTCTTCCTGTCAAATGGGAGTTTTTTCTTCCATTGTCATTAATTGCTTGCTCATAGAGGGCCGTGTGATCGTTGGCGTGTCTTTCAAACATTGTAGGATCTTTAGCTTACAATATTGAGTGCCTTGAGATGGCCTTTGTTATGAATTGGTGCTCTATAAATAAAATTGAATTGCAATGCCAGAGTACAGTAAAGAATAGCAAGATGCACAAGGCTGTCAGCATATGTAAAAACATAAAAGAAATAATTTAGGTGTACTAAACAGAGGAAAGTGGAGGTTTGCAGAAAATTGGTCAAAGGTTATGAAATGAAGCGGAAAACTGGCAGCTTATTTTATATTTCAAGAAAGTCAAATCCTCTCATTTCCCACCAGTTTCAGCATAATTTATAAATGTAAGATCTCTTATGGTTAAAATCAGACCCTCTTATGGTCTTATGAACTTTTTATGGATCTGCACAGCCTGGATGGCTGCTTAGGTGATCAAGGGCTTTTCCATCAACATCACATGGTTTTAAGGATTATAGGCTTGAAAAATGGTGATGCAGCCATATATTTACATTGAAAATAACAAGAAGAAAACAAGCCTTAACGTGAACATATTGAATATGTTGCACTGTAGGTAAGTAATGACAAGGTCAAACAAATACGTCATAGATCACATAGATTACTTTTTACCACAGAAAGTAAATTTCTATTTTTCAAAGCTTAACAGTTCTGTTTTACTTTGTGACTTTATGAACAAAAACGAAATGTTTTTTCATTAGATCCTGTAGGACCATGCAGCCATCAAAGTAGCCCTATGTATTGATTTCACAGAAACAACTGACTTTAGCATGGAAGATCCAGTTTATTGGTTTTCTTACTAGCATGTCTGTAATTCTTCTTTTACTCCTGGATTTTTCTGCCTGAATGAAGCTGTTGCTGGAGAGGATAATGGTCAAATGAGCCAGCTGCCATTATATGGAACAGCTTTAATGTCAAATAGCGTCATTTTGTCGATTAGAAATTTTGTCTTGAGAAATCTTTAGTCTGCTTCTGACGCCAAGCTGGAAAAACTGAAGGAAGAAAGGGAAGCATTTGCTTTTAAGATTCAAGAGATAGCATAGGCCCTTAACTACAAAGCGGGATGTGGTTTGAGAGGAAAACTTTCTAACTTTTTTTCCTGGTGACTGCAAAGCAATTTAATTTATCTATAGCCTTTTGTGTCGTGGCAAAATCTTCAAAAGAAGCTGATTAAAGCAGTAAATCCTTTCAATTGTTGACTTTGTTCTTTACTTGCTCACAAATCATTTACTAGTAAGAATACAAGTAATTTACTTTATTAATGTATTAATCATTTGTTCCTTTTAGCCTGTATTGTGTTTTTAATTTCTTCATTCTTAAGAAAACAGGTTGTAATAGAAGACAAACAGGCAGCACTAGAATGATCCATGTCACCGCTCCTTTTATATGGAATTCTTACATCTAGAATTGGGGGATTCTGGGTTGACTTACTGAGCTGATGACAACTGGCATAGCCACTTAACATGACTGCTGACGGGAGGCTTTGTGAAACCAGATAACAATAAGATATCTTGAGTATGCCTAACTCATTTCATAGTAAAGACCCTGATCAGTGGTAGTACAGGTCTAACATTTGGGTTGACTTAAAAAGTGCCACCGAATGAATGTAAAGCAGTGCCATTAGAAAACAACTGTTTTCATATTTAGAATAAATAAAAGCTAAATAAATATAGTCGATTTATAAAGACACTTTTAAAACAAAGGGGCACCTTCCATCTAGTGATGCAGAAGGCACATACGGCTAAACAGAAGAACCACCTGCAGCTCTAAAAGCGATTTCATAATACTAGTGTGCAATGATGGCAATGTGATGGAGGTAAAATGTTGCCTAACACACCATGAAAGCCCCAAAAAGGCCAGTGCACTGCTCTAATGCAAGAATACTGACAGATTTGAGAGGTTATCTACCTCCAAAATTCAGGTGGTTACAGAGCGGTGACTGTCTGACCAATTCTGATTCTTATAGGTTTTAGCACATCTTCAGGTTTTTTATAATAGTTTGTCATTTTAGGAGGAAAACATATTTTGAACTAATGCAGCTCAGATTGCATGCACATGTTCTAAAGGAGGTATATGAGCACTCTTCGACAAACAGGAATTGCATATTGAGCTGATTCTTTTTCTTCTCATACACCTAATGGACTCAGTGTTCCTTTGGAGGATTATGTGTTTACACCCAATGCAACCAAACCCACCAGTTGCACATTATTTGTAAATGGCCTCACTGCAAACACCTTGCTTGTTATCTGTACACTGGAGAAGTTGTCTGCCCTGCTAGGCTGAACTTTTGAATGACATCACTTGTCATCAGCCAGTTTTCTGCCTGCTGCTGTTCGCCCTGCGCTGCATTAGTGCTACACTTAACAAGCAAACATCTCAAATCCGCCCGGTAGCACAGCAATTTCTGCTATGATCTGAATGTAAAGTCACTGCTCTGTTGAGTCACTGTGACCCCCAGTGATCACTTCTCAATGCCACCCTACTGGGCATGTATAAAGCTATGTAAAGCTGCTTGAAATGTAAAAATGAATGTACAAATAGCTTCACTATACCTTCTCTAAGTGTGTGTTGGTGGTGTCTACCTCCAAACTGAGAAGCTTGACAGATTTTTACCGGAAATGCAGCCATCTGCTGAAACTACTCTTTCATACAGAATGTTGCTGTGCGGTAGATACTAAAAGAAACAAGTTATTTGCTGTTACGTATCAGTATTTATTGCAAAAACAGAAAGTTGTTTATATTGTTCATGTTTTCAGGCTGATGCATTTTGGTTTGTGGATGGAAAGTAATATAAGAGTTGTTTTAAGAGAAAACAACAGCGCTAAGAGGATGTTTTTCTTCGTTCAGTCTTGTAATTGCCTTACTGTTATTTCCTTTAATGTTTATTGCAAGTACTTTGAAAATGTAAGATCAAAAAAGTATAACACAATGAAAAGTGCTTTGAATATTGATGTAAAACTGTACATTGTTTTGTCTCCATTGTAAGTTTAATTAGTAAAGAAAACAAATATTTTGCTAAGTGTACATCCACTTCCAGTGCAGCATTTGTGCAGTTTTGCAGAATGATTCATTGTTGCTGATTATTGTGAAGTGCTCTGTTTTCGTTCCCACAAAAAGCAGCAGCAAGAACACTGAACATTATATGTTCCTGGATCAAGGTTTAGCTTGTGTTTTGATTGTTCGTTGTATGCTTAGTTCTGTGTATATGTGCAGTGACACAATGCAAACAGCTGTGGGATCATGTTTCATGTTCGGTGATGGCATGAAGAAATGTAAACGTGAGCTTCAGTTCAAATAAGTGATGTTTTGTTGGCTTAAGATGACTTATTTTTGTCTGAATAAAAGCAGATAGTGAAATGAGAGCGTTGTCAATTTATTTTTCACATTTGTAAATGTGGACATCGTGTCACTCAGGTTTGAGAAAAAAAATGCATGTTCATTGGTAACAGGCTCTCTAAAATGGATGCGTTGGGATGTTAGCACAGGAGGTTCATTTCAAACATGAATGCATTGACACTTCTGAAAGTAGGTAACATCCAAGTGTTGGGACAAAGGAGGAGACAGTGGATTCAAGCAAAACAGAGAGGAGATCGACGGACAGTAGTCAGTGCCACAGTGCCTACTCAAATACACGGGATGTTAGAATGTCTCTAAAGAATTCCCTTTGGAGAAACAGCTGCTTAGCGGCAACCAAGTTCACAGTTTACGCTAAAATTTGAATATTCAACTGAGCGAAGGACACTTTGATGAAAAGCTAACATTTGACTGGATAAACAGACTAAAATAAAATAAGCAAGCAGGTGTCTCTACGAGCAGAGCTTCCAGTCAGAACAAAGCAGCATCTTCCTCAAGGTGTGCCTGAGCTCGGCGATGCGGAAGGCGTATATGGCCGGATCGAAGAGCGCGTGGCTCGTCAGCAGCGCCACATGCAGCTGGAACAGCGATCGGTAACACTCGCAGTAGGGGTTCATGGGGCACACCATGATGATGACGAGGTGGAAAAAAAATGGCGACCAGCAAACCACCAGCGTCCCAAACAGGATGGTGACGGTCTGGGCCCCTCTCATGTTGCTCCCCCACCGCTGCTGGTGATGATTGTTCCTGCCACCAACCGGTAACGCTGCAATCTTTCTGGCATGGATGCGCGCCAGCATGAACATGTAGACATACAGGGAGCAGATAATCACCAAGGAGATGAAAAACAATATGACGAAGCAGATCATGATGAGCTTGAAGTCAAAGAACAATATCATCAGCACGCCCAAGCCCCCGCATACAGTCCAGATGATGCCCAAGATGGCCCCAGTGCGCTGCATTGTCATGATGTTGTGGTATCGGAGTGCATGGAAGATGGTGATGTAACTGGAAGACAAACAAATCATTTCATTATCTCATAACTTATCACAGGCTGTCAAGGATTGAGTGACTACGTTTAACTTCACTGCAGCTTCCTCACTCAGCTCGGTCGCCTAAATTTAAGACATTAACTGAGCCTTAACATGACACTGCTGTGCATTACCATTAGCAGGAAGCTTTGTGCCACAAAATAATCCTAAATGTATTTAATCCACACTGGATGACATGTTTTGTAAAGAGTCAAATGGTTTTTTGTTTTTGTCTCAGGAGATGGTGAAACCCAAAACAGAGTTAAGAGTTGAATGCATATTAGCCGCATAAGCATTAATTGGGTGACCAATTGTGCGAAAAATGTGGGACATGGTCATGAACATTATCATTAGCTTGTTGTTCAGCCCAGAAGTGGACAAAATTATTTTATTTTGCTCATTATACTCTCCCAATTCCACTGCTAGTTAAGCTTTTTGTGACTGGCTGCCTCTTATAAATAAAATGTTTTAATGGGGGCGGGCAAGTGTCGCTTCTATTCTCACAAGCAGAGGTGAAATCCTGAGATGAATTTATGAAGGATATCAGCTCTCTTTTAGAGAGCTTTTCTTTTGGCTCACAGGATTACTTGGAAAACTACTGAAGACGGCTGTGTTCCATATGAGCATTTAGTATTTCAACTGTATAACTATATAACTGAAAAATAAGTGAAAGTAAGCAGAGTTTCCTTTAAAAAAAAAAAAAAACTATAAATAAATGTGCATATGTTGCATTCTCTTTTTCTTTGACTGATTTTAAAATTTGGATAGCTGCCTAAAAGGTGGAGAAACAGTATCATTGCAGTAATAAAGTATTCATGATTTTTGGGTAGACATGATGGAAGCCACTGCAGTAAGCCTTTAACTGTACATCAAAGAGTCAGAGCCCAGTGGAAAGCTTTTTAAATTCTCCTTATATAAATATCAGCAGAGGATAAATCATTATGGGGCCACAGATCCATAGAGAAACCATTTAGAACATCTAGATTAGCAGCAAATAGAATAAATCATTCGTTGTATGGCAAATATAACATGTTGTGGGTTCCTTTAAGTAACAGTCAGTTCTTTCTTTAAAAGGGTTTTCAAATAGCCCTAAGCATTGTTATGCCTTAGAAAATGAGATTTTCTAAGGCATAACAAAAAAAAAATGAGATTTTGGGGGATGAGTAGCCTAGAGTGGAATATTTTCATCTCGCCATGAAAACCATTCTCCACACTATAAAATAAACCATTTTAAGATATTTATGTTTCCATATCCAAGAGCTCCATACATACCGGTCCACGGCAATGGCCAGGATACTGAAAAAGGACCCCAAGAAAGACATGCACAGCAGGGAGTCGATTGCATCGTCCAGCGTGGTCTCAGAAGAGCCTTTCTTATTCAAGTGTCCCACATCAGCAAACACAATCATGAGGTTTTCCAAGGTTTTGGTCAGGCTGGCGATGGCGTGGAAGGCTGCCAGGCTGCAGATGAAGCAGTACATTGGCAAGTGGAGGTTTCTGTTCCGTATGACAGCTACCACAACAAGGAAGTTCTCTGCAAAGCTCACCGCTCCGATGGTGAAGAAGACGGGGTTGGGAACCACCACCTCAGGACAGTGCGATTGGTTCAATATAGAGCTGTTCATTGTTGGTCAAGACAGTGGTCGTCCAGGATTAAATGCTGATTAAAGGCAGATGTTTACTTTGGGGCTATTTTGCATTGAAAGTTTATTAAGTTTAATAATATTGTTTCACGAATTGGTTTAAATATGAATATTTGCAGTACATTTTAAACTGCCTTCATTCTTACATTTACAAAAACATTTTACCTGCTGACCTGTTTTTAACATAGAGATCAAGTTTAAACTGATACCTGTGACTTAATGAGTCCTATAAAGGTCTCAAAATTTAGATTTACACACTTTGCAATATCCTTCAACTTTCTTGTCATCAACAATTTCATGAAATCATGACAAAAATATTTGCTGAAAACCTAAAAAAAAAGTCAACAAAAAGTAACAATTGTTTTTTTATAGATACAAATTTGAATTTAAAACACAAATTAATGGTAAGAGACTTACTGACTAAATTTATGGACAGATGCCAAACAAAACAATGGAGCTAAACTACAAAAATACAGGCAGCAGGTTTACATATATAAAAAAATAAAATAATAATGTCACATGCTACATAATGACATAATATTAATGTTGCTCTTAACAGGCTTTCTTTTGTGTTGCTATTACAAAGAATGAACATTAGTTTATGGTTAATAAGATCAGGACTTTCACAACCTTTGACCTATAACCTATTTATCCAAGAGGTGAAAGACTTTGTAACTGGGTTTGTAGAAGTGCTATAAAGATTAAAAATACATTTTAAAAATTGGAACAATAACTAGTTGCAGTAGTTTTCACAAAAGAAATATAACCATGTTAGGTCAGATTTGAGGTTTTCCTTTTAAGCTAAGCTTAGACAATATATCATGTTTTAGTGAGAAAGTAAAATAGTTGTATGCAGCTTGTTTGCAGTAAAGAAACATTAATGCTAGATGAGAAACGATAGAAGCAAAGTGGTTCTGAGTTTGAAAATAATTACAAAAGTTCATCTATTGTTACCTTAAAATATAATTGATTTTTGTTGAGTGAAACAAAAAAATAAAAATATAAAAGACCAAGAAACAAAAATTACTCCACGTGTTACAGCAAGAGTCTGACCTCAGGTGGAGGCCGTGGGTTGTTTTCAGCTGTCCTCCACTGGGTAATCGCAAGAGCGAAGGTCACGTTTAAGAAAACACGCACAGGGCCGCTGAAAACAGGCAGCTCGCTGCAGCTCCCGTGGAACAAAGTGTCTTTCTCATATATGTCCAGGTTTAAATCGAGGAGTGCTGGCTCCGGTACACCTCAGTCAGCTGGGGCCACATCAGCCTCTCTGCTGTTCACATGAGGGGCAGCCAATCGATTTTTTCATTCTGTTTGTTCAGAGCTCACAGATGTTATTTCCAAACTGGTTTACGTGTGATTGCAGTGCTGTGTTTGGTGGTCTTCTTGTCTTTGAGTCTGGTGCAAATGTTTACGTGATGCTTTCACCTGTAAAAAACAAGCATGTTATTAAAATTCTTCTTCTGTTAGAGATTCTACGTGCATTGTTTGACTGTTCAATTCTGTGTGAATCATATAGCGTACAACATTTATCTTGTGCTTTGTCTGTGACGAGTTGTGTGACCTTTAATTTAAAGCTCACCCGATGTCTGTGTATTCTGCCATTCCATTCGAATGCATTTAGTCCCACCTTTGTAATTGAACACTGTCCTTTTATATAAAGAAAGCTCTGTGATCTTGGCTGTGACTCAGAATTCCTGTCAGGCTGCAGTCTGAAGATTATTATAATAATTATATCCAAAAGCCTCTGATCCCTTTTTATTATGACATTCTCAGAGCAGCTTCAGTCCTCGCAAAGATGCCACATTAAATCCAGTTAAAGCAACTTTGATTGTTTATGTTTTCTAGTTTATTTTACCATATAAGCATAATAGTTTTTAAATAGCCTTTCAATGAGACTATTGGCATTTCCACGGCAAACTCATGTCATGTTTCCAAATTGCCACATTTGCCACTATTCGCTTTCTTTTAATTTTTATCTTTCAGTTATCATTTTATTAAGCTTAGGTAACAAACACTTGCTTAACTTTGAAAAACAAATTATATGGTATATATTCTGATAATATAAGGATAAGCCTGCCTTATATGTCAATGTCTGACATGGTAAACTGTGCTGTGTATACCAGTGAAGCAAGTGTTTTTGATAGTGCACACATTTGAAGATGACTATATTTTTCTAAATACATGCCAGCTGCTTTCAGCAGTATCATAATCAGCTGACTGTTTGAGCTACATGTCAACATGCTAACTAGGCATGCTGCCAAGCCAAGAAAAGAAATTATATCTACTCTTAAATTACAGCCCGTTCTCAAATTGAGGAAGCACAGTGGCA